CCGCCTGGGGGTCCTCGTGGCCCGTCTTGGGGCCCTCTCGCGCCAGACACAACTTCCTGCGATGACGCCTGCAGGAGCCCAGGGGGCACGCGCTCGGCATCGCTCGGACGTGTGCATCTCTCCTGCGGCGAGCACCATCGAGGAGCATCCTTGATCATGTGGCGAAAAAGCCACGCACGACATCTAAAAAAGCACAGGGAATGGACGTCCGAGCGATGGCGAGCGCGGGAAGCCCCATAGGGGCACGCGGAAAGCTCCAGGGGGCACGCCCCAAAGCCCCGGGAGACATTCGAGAGCAAAGGGGCCCACGCGCCCCTGAAAGACTCCTCGGGAGCGAGGAGTCACTGACCCAAAACAGACGCCCAATCCCAAAAAACGCGAGGGCCAAGACAGAACGCAGGCTCCTGGAGACTTCGGGGAGGGAGACAACGACGAACGCAAACCATACCCCGGAATCTTTGGCCGATGGTCGAATCCTCGGTGAATCCGCGATGTTGGGGTTGGGGATCTGTTTTTTCTTTGTCATAGATGGAGGCTTAGAGGATGAAAGCCAGAACCTGAGGACACGCCCACTCCGTGCCCAGCCGTGCTGTGGCGTATCATCGTTCGGGGGTCGCGGTGATTCGTCTGCATCCGCCGCCCCCGTATCCGAAGTGCTGCGGGGGGGGGGGGGGGGGGGCGTCTGTCCGCGGGCCAGCCCTGGGTCCAGTCGTGCGGGGAGCCCCACACGGCATCGAGGTTCCCCACGAGAGGAGGGAAGAGGAAGGGCAGTAGGCAGGGAGCAGCAGCGATGGCGGGAGGGGAGGAGGGAGGAAGAGGGTGAACGTTGCGAGAAAGGGGAACGACGAAGGAGGCAGAGGGGGGGGCGGGCGAATGGAGGGGGGGTAAGGGAAGCTTGGCGGGGAGGGGCTCGCAGGCCTGTGTGGGAGGGGGTCAGGGAATGCCCGATGTCGTGCCCACTGTCGGCTTGCGCAGAAGCGAGCTGGCTGGGCCAGCTGTCAACAAAAGGGGCCGACGGTCTGCTGCGGCTGCGGCGCGCCCAGGGCGGGGCGGCAGAGGGCGGCGGATCTTCGCAGGAGGCTCCCAAGGCCTCCAGCCTTCCGAAGAGCCTTCTGAGCCTTCGTCGACGCCACGGAGCGCGTCTGAGGAGGAGGAGGAGGAGGAGGAGCGAGGAGCGAGGAGCGAGGAGCGAGGAGCGAGGAGCGAGGAGGAGGAGGAGGAGGAGGAGGAGGAGGAGCAAGAGGCAGAGGAGGAGTAGGAAGAGGCAGAGGAGGGGGAGGCGGAGGTGGAGGAGGCAGAGGAGGAGGAGGAGGAGGAGGAGGAGGAGGAGGAGGAGGAGGAGGAACGACCAGAGGGCTTCTCAGAAAGCTGGATGGTTTCTGAGAAGCCCCGCCACCTTATGAGGAGGCCCGTCCCTGCCAATCTCCCCCCTCGCCAAGCCGCCGAGTGCAGCCGCGGACGCTGTACTGCTTACTCAGAAGGCAACGTTTGGCCTTCGCTCACGCATCCAGGCCGTTTTCTTGAGTCGAGCCTGTCCCTCTACAGGAGGAATATTCAAACATAGACACAAACAGTCTGGAGGCGATTTATATTATTTTGACAATGTTCGAATATGTTTGGGGTATGTCTTATTTTTCGTCCAAAATGCGCCTGTAGGGGGACACGCCAGATCTAAGCGTACTCGATTCATATATCACCAGTCTTCCTTCATCCGCTCCGTCGGGCGGCCCGAGTTGCGTATGGACTGGCAGTGGCGGTGTCCCAGAGCCGGTGTGCGTGACTGTTGCCTCCTCCGACGTGCAGGCCCGTGTGGGCGGCCTTTGGGTACCAAGTTTTGAGTGGCCGTGGTTTGACGTGTTCCTTCTGCTGGGGGGTGCGGGGGCCATCGGAGAAGGTGCGCTGGAAAAAACGCGCCCGGGTCGGGAAAGGGAGGGCCGAGGAGGAGGAGGAGGAGGAGGTCAAGGAGCTCTCGCTCTCTCGCGCCCTGCGGCCGCTCCTTGAACTTGTGGGGGATCTACAAACTTTGAGGCATGCCAGCGCGATGGTCCTCTCAGCGCAACAACGCCCGGTGGGGCGGTGGCGCTCGCGCAGGTGGCGGCTCTTCGTGGTGCTGTACGCTGTGTGGCACGCGGTCCTGGTCAACCTGCTCGCAGCGCCGATGGTGCCAGGCCCCGAAGTCGTACGTGCAAGCAGTGGCTACGTGGCCTCCACTGCCGCCGTCTGCACCCGGAACAGTGGTCGGCCTTGCTCCGTCTACGGTTTCCACTCTTACCTCACCAGCCTCTCCAGCCCCGGCTGCGCAGGCGCCGGCGATAGTCTACGTCGATGTGGACTCCGAGCCGTCCCAGAAGCAGATCCGGGACTTGCTCAGCGCCCTCATGAAGTCCCGGGGACCGCTCGCGATGATCAACAGCCCGGCCCTGCCGGTCATCGACGCGCAGATCGCGGAGAAGAAGGCGTCCTTGTACGCGTCCCGGCCGCCGGGCCAGCAGCTCGACGGTCTCCGGCAGGTTATCACCCGGGCGGAGAAGCGCCTCCAGCAGGCCCACGAGGACATGCAGGCGGCTCAGGAGAGGATCAATGCGGAACAGGCCGCCTTGACGGCCTACCCGGCGGACCTCATGGAGCTCACGAAGAACACCTACGTGGTCGACCAGCCGACGACCGAGGGAGGGCCCCCGGGTTGGCTGAATGACACGCTGCTCGACCTTGCGCGGCAGATCGGGGGGGGCACGGAGATGCCGAGGGACGCATTGGCACCGGCATTGGAGGGGATGGCGCTCCCTCCGCCGACCCCCATGCCGCCCGATGCCCCGGAACCAGCGCCCCCGGCGTCGGACGTGATGCAGGACGATTCCGAGACCCCGCAGCCTGCTGCTGGAAACTCGGGGCCTTCGCGGAGGCTGCACGGGAAGACCATCGTGGAGACGCCGTGCCCTCAGGGGTTTCTCGTCCCCTCCGTGGCCACGCTTGGGACGTGAGTGGCCGTGCCGTGCTATGTCTAGATACGCTATTGCAGCATTATCCTAGTTTTGGGCCGGGGTTGAGGCCACGAGAATTAATTTCAAATCATAGTGCAATTCATCCTCCAGCCCAGGGGTGGGCGGAGCAGTCTTGCATCGGAGCATGTCGTTTGACTCATCTTACTTCCTCTACTCGTGACTGGGATTCGTGTCTCGAGGTCGGCGTCAATTGCTCCCCCGCCGGGGTTTTCCAACAACAGACCTACAGTGTCTTCGATCGTAGCGTGGTGATGTATTTGCTTCATCCTTTCGGTCATGTTTTGTCGCAGTCTTTGCGCGGTGTCACGCTGATGGAAACCACAACCGCAGAACTTGCGACTACAGTGCGTTTTGTGCCGGGAACACCGCTGCGACCCATTCACATTTATTTAGATGGATCGGGGGGGGATCCCCGAACCAAGCCCGCGCCTCAACAGACGCGTCCCCTGTTCCAGCGTGGGGGTTTTGTGTACTAGGCCCGGGACTTGATGGAAGCATCATGTATATGGGATCCGTATGCGGGCTTGTGGTTATTGATTGTGGTCATCCGCATTTTGTCGGGGCAGTGCAGGATGAGGGCTCGATGTCATTCGCGGCGGAAGCGTCCGCCATGATATGGGCACTCATTTGGGCGCTGAGGTCCAAGGACCTTGATGGACAGTGCGCAGTCAGGATCTTTTCAGACAACATGTCAGTCGCTGATGTCGCGTTTCGGTTTGCCAGAGCTTCGTCTCAATTTAGCGTTTGTCGTGTTGTGCGTAATTTGGTCTTGCTTATGAACAATTTTGTTGATGTGTCCCATGCGCATGTGCACTCTCATTGCTGTCATCCTTGGAATGAGCTTGCCGATAAGTTGTTCGATGCAGCCGGTCATGGATCCGCGCGCCCAGGCATCAGGAGCGACACTATTTTCGCGGAATTTTCTTTCCCAGCCAACCCAAGCGGAAATGATGTGGACTGGCTCTTTCTCGGGGGGTCGCGTGCCCAACGGAAGGAGTGCCCCGCTGATTTGCGCGAGGTTGGATCCATGCACTTGGGCAGTATCGAGATTGATAGATATTTGCCCGCGCCTGTCATTGCCGAGTGGGTCGATTCGGATCGCAGCCGGCCAATGGGCTGCACGCCGATCACAGCATGTGAGTTGCGACTCTTTGGTCGCAATGCTTCAACTCCTAGGGCGCATGCGAAGTTTGAAGTTGCCTTGACACAGCTGGAGTCTCAGAAGTTTCATGTTGCGGGTTTCCAGGAGTCTCGCAGCAAAGTCACGGGGAGGAAGATGGTGGGGGACAGCATCAGCGGAAAGAAATCCATTGTGATCCACAGCGCGGGGTTGTCCAATATCTATGGGCCACTTGGGTGTTCCATTATTTTGTCAGCGTCTCGTCCTTTTTTCGTGCAAGGAAATCACTAGGTGTTCATTCGCATCGATGACGTTGTCATTCATCATGCTTGTCCAAGGGCGTTGGTTGTAATCGTAACAACGGCCGTGTGTAGATTTGTTGTTGCTTCGGCGCGCGCGCCGCATCAGAAACGCCAGGAGAGCATGCCTTGGAGGAAGGAGGCCGGGGCGCTACTGCCACCGGCGTTGCGGACGCCCCCAGCGTTTGTGATGATGGATGCGAACATCACTGTACCATCGGCCTGGTCCTGAACGCCCCTCGTGGGTGGGGGCCGCGAGGCTTTGCCGAGCAATGCGGTCAATTCGTTTGTTTTCGAGCAGTGGATGTCTGACTGTGGACTCCGGCGCCCCGTTGCGCGGCCGGGCACGCGGGCGGGAGGGGCGGCCCATCGCGCATGCATGGGAAGTGGATGTGCGACCATGAATGATTGCATTGTTTTGTCTTGTAATGTTGAATGCGCTGAGGGTTCATATGCCGTGGATGATGTATATGACACGGCAAATGAGCGCGATGATCGCCTCATGATATGCACCCGCGTCAAGATGCAGCCTAATTTTTCACGCTCGATGCTGCGGCGCCGGCTGGCGCCGTGCGACAGGCGTGGCCCGGGAGACCCAATGAAGGTGCATCGTTTTAGGCAGCTGCTCGCGGAGTTGTGGCCAGCCCTTTTCAATGTTGATCCCACTTCCCATTGCTTTATCAGGCAATCCCAAGTGCAAGACGCGGCGGTGCAAGCCTTCCCGAAGCCCAAGCATGCGAAGCGCAACGCCGCGCTAAGCCAGGGCACGCTTGACCTTGTCTTGCGGAGAGGTGTGCTTAGGAAACGGTTTCGGTCACTCGGCAAGGACATTGCGCATTTGCTTGATAAAACAGTGTGCCATGTTGTCTTCCGGGCCTGGGCGGCTGCAGCAGGAGGGGGGCCGGCGCCGCTGGTGGATTGTAGTAGCTTGTTTTGGGGCGCCTGTCTCAACGGGAGTTTTTGCGGCGCGGCCATTGACGCATTGTCGAACGAACTCAGAGAAGCTCTCGACAAAGATGCTGCCGATTTTGCGGAGCGGAAGCGGCTTGAGTGGGAAAGTGCAGCGGCCGATGCGTCGACGCGGCGCATGTTCAATGTGCTGAAGCCTCTCTATAAGCCCGCCCAGCAGTCGGCAGCGCGCGCGAAGCAAGCAGATGGCACTGTCACGTTGTCAGCCTCTGAAACAAAGCGCGAAATAGCCGAGCATCTTGCCATGCTGTTGCAAGGTAGCCACATTACCATGCGTGACTTGATAGAGAAAGATCGGATTGACAACCTCGTCGTTGCAGATCGCACAGTTGACGCAATTGACTTCGGCCTCGCCCCGAGCATTTCGGAGGTTGCTTGCATTTTTGCACGCGTGAGGCCCATGGCTGCAAGATTTGAAGATTGCAATGGGTCCGAACTGTTCAAGGCTGCGCCTCTTGAGACTGCCCGGTTGTTCCACCCGCTCGTCTTTAAGTCAGTTGTTTCTCTGCGGCCGCCTTTGCAGTGGAAAGGGGGGCATCTGTTTGAGATATACAAAGGGGCTATGACCGAGATCCCGTCATACAGGGACGTGACCATTTGCGAGGCGGCGTCCAAGTTGCTGCCCCTCCACATGCGCTCACGTGGGATGCCCGCCCTTGCAGCGACGAGTTCAAACTTGCAGTTTGGAGGTGGTCTCAACGGAGGGTCAACGGAGTTTGCCCACCTGTACATGGTGGCGTGCATGGACGTTGCCAGGGCTAAGAAGCTATCCTTTGGTGCTTTGTTCGTTGACTTGCAAGCGGCATTCGCTAGCATAGCGAGGCATCTTGCTTTTTCCTGCGCCGCCGGCGTCAATGGATGCATTTGTTGCCAGACTCTTGGCTGCAGGATTTTCTGCCGAGGGCGCCGCGGAAATCGTTGAGGGCCTCTCTGCCTACGAGCATTGAACCGCGAGCGGAGGCACGACGCATTATCTCGCGATGCTGAGCAAGCTGCGCAGACAGTCCTGGTTCGCTATGGAAGGCGTCGCAGGGTGCGTGCAGACTACATCCGGGAGTCTTGCTGGTAATGCTCTTGGGGAATTTGTGTTCCTCCTCGCCTTTAGCCGCGTGGTCCGCGCTGTCGAGTTGCGCCTTGCTGCTGCCGGTTTGCTGTTCGAACTCCCAGCGGGGCCGTTGATCCCCGGGTTCGGCGTTGAGCCGGCGAACGGGCGGCCCGCGGAGCCAGTGCAATTTGGCGCAGCCGGTTATATGGATGCTGTCGTCCAGCCATTGTTTGGTCAGGCTTGCGAGATCGCGGGTAAAACGAAGGCGTGCGCCGCCATTTTTGAGAACGTTTTCTCCATGCATGGTTTACGCATCAGTTTCAAACGGGGCAAGTCGGAAGCATTATTCCGTTTCGTTGGCCCGGCCCTGGTTCTGGCGAGGCGCAGCGGCAGCTGTTCGGCGATGCCGGGGGCCCCATTCAATTCGAGACTCGCGGCGTGCAGCGCCAGCTGGTTGCCGCGGCCCAGTACAGGCACGTTGGTACGCTTACTTGTGCCACGGATTCGATGCACCCAGAGATCACAGCCAAAGTCGGCGCGTTGAGATGAGTTTTCCAGCAATTGCGCTACGCAGTGCTGCAGCGAAGTTCTGCGCCCGTTGAAACACGGCTTGCCTTATGTCAAGGGGTGGTGTTCACGCGTGGTCTGCACCAGGCGAGCACGTGGCCCCAGTTGCATACTGCTGAGCTGGCGAGAGCCCACACAGCTGTGATGCAGGTGTATTCATCCGTGATGAAAGGAGCCTCGACGGACCTTCGTTGCCCGTCTCACGCATCCATTTCTGAGCATGAGTGTTTCATCGCACCTGCGACTATGATCTTGTGCATGCGGGTGGGGCTTTTCAGCAGAGTGTGTTTGCAGGCCCCGCGTGCTCTGTGCGTTGCGCTGTGCCGCGCCATTGGGGTACGCAGGTCTTGGATGCATGCCCTTTCTGCTGATTTGGACTTGTTGACTTCGCGTTCTGATTCGTTTTCTGAGCACGCAACCAAGCCCATAAGATAATGGGTTCCAGTGGCCGCTCCAATCCGAAACGCTTCAGAGCGGCGTTGAAAGACGCCAGGCGAGAACGTGCGTTTAATGAGGTGAGGACGTGGGGCGAAAACCCGGCGCGTGGCCGAAGTGAACAGTATTTTCTCGTGCCACTTTTGTTCGTACACATGCGACTCGAGACAGACATTGGCCACCCATGCTTTCTCGGCGCATGGTGTGAGGCGCCGCACGCGCGACCTGATTGATATCAACCATTGTCCTGCATGTATGCAGTTTTTGCACACCCGCGTGAGAGTGGTGACCCATGTGGAGGAACGTTCTGGAAAATGCCGCTCTGTCGTCATGGCGACTCTCAGCAAATTGCCGGAGGATGTTGTTGCCGACCTCGATCGGAAAGACGCCAGAGACGCCCGCGAGCGAGCCAGAAAGGGCCAGAAGCCACACCACGCTGATGCTCCGGTCAGCCAGTTGGAGGGCCCGTTGACCCGGGAAGCGTCTGAAGCTGGTCTGAGGCATAAGTGCCCCCCTCTTGTCTCTCTTTTTCATTTGAGCCGCGGGGTGCTGTTACGACGCTGACGTCCTCTGAAGGAGGGTCCGCCCATGTATTGTCCTTTTCCTTGTGCCTCCACCTTGCATGGATGTGTCTCTTCACGCGCACGTTCCAAGCTGCTCGGAAACGAAACGAGGAGGAGGAGGAGGAGGAGGAGGAGGAGGAGGAGGAGGAGGAGGAGGAGGAGGATCAGGAGCAGGAGCAGGATGAGAGGGCTAAGGGTAGGATCGTTCACCAGCGAGAGCGCGAGCACGGCGATGCCAGGTGCGCCTCGGGGAGACCACCACCACCACCACCACCACCACCACTTTCTCACTTTTCCCTGGACCGAGTTGGCACCGCCATCAACGCAAGGGTTCTTCTTATGACCAAAAAAGCTCCGACGTCGCGATGTTTGCTTCGAGCCTCGAGCCCCAGAGGTTTGGAGTCCTTCCCCTGGGCCGGTGTTCCTCCCGGGCGGTCTCCGGGACGGCCCCCGCCCCCCGGAGGCTGAGATTGGTTCAGAAGCCTCCCGTCGTTTTGGAGGAGGAAGAGGAGGAGGAGGAGGAGGAGGAGGAAGGGAAGGAGGAAGAGGAGGAGGAAGAAGAGGAGGTCGGAGGAGGAGGAGGAAAACACATATAAATAAAGAAAAGCCTGCCGTCGCGATCTCTTCAGGGCGAGAGGATGCGGGGGAGGGAGGTCCTGAGTCCGAACGCGGACTCTCCCGTTCTCCCCCCTCCCCTCTTCCGGCAACGCGCCCTTTTCCCGAGCGCGCGGTGGGCCCTCCAGCAGCCGTGCTGCTCGAAGGCTCCGCTCAGGCCCGCCACCGCCCGGAGAGGCGGTGTTTCTGCCAGCCCCCTCGCCGGCTGCCGCGAGCAGGCCGCTGCGCGGAAGTCGCGACGGGGACGTCTGTGCTCGAGGAGGAGGATCGAGGATCGAGGAGGATTGCCGAGGGTCGACGGCGAGGATCGAGGAGGAGGAGGAGGGAGGACGCAAGAGGAGGAGGATCGAGGAGGATCGAGGAGGATCGGGGAGGACGAGGAGGAGGAGCAGAGAGCAAGCGACCTCGAGGATCGACGACAAGGGAAAAAGGGTCAACCTAGGAGGCAGCCTGTGCCACCTAGGCTGACGGGGGGACGACAGGAGGCGGAGGAGGGCGCGCGGGTGGGGGGAGAGAGGCAGGGCGGCGCCTAACGGCGGCCACGGCCGCCGCGTGGTCGGCCGCGACCGCGGCGTCCCCGAGCGGTGCCACGCGCCGCGCGCGCGGGGCCGCGCTCGCCGCTCTCTCTCCCTCCCCCTCTCTCGCTCTAGCCCTCTCTTTCCGCTCCTTCCCCCACGCAAGATTGCCAGGGACCTTGCCCTGGGAAATCCTGGCGAGATTTTGGGCCCCCGCCCTCTCGAGGCGGTCCGTACAAGCATTCCCGAGATCACGCAAGTGCTGTGTAGAATACGCTCCACACGTCAAACACCACAGCACGTTAGCCTCAGGCCAAAACGCCACGGCTTGGGACGGGTCCACAAGACGACTGCGCACACATATTGCAGTCGTCGGACGGAAGACAGAACCTGACCAGGCCATGGGCGTACACTGCGAATTCAAAGACGCTGTCAGGTCACGGGCGGTCGAACATCAATGGCACTTCTGGCATTGCGCGAAGTCTCCACATATCATGGGGCACTTCTTACACTGCGCGAAGTCTCCACATCTCCCAACCGCACTTCTGGCACTGCGCGAAGCCTCACCGCAGCAGCACGCAGGAGTTGACGAGTCGATCTCCGAACCTTCTCTTCGGGGGGTCGGGGAGGGCGCCTGCCCTCACGCTCCAAAGCATCTGACATTACAGTGAGCGGCTTGAATAAGGAACATCTGCTTTTCAAAAGGGGCTCGGTCGTTCCTTAGATTTTACATGCGTTATTTACTGTTCCTTATGCGTTATGTTCTATTTATCGTTCCTCATGCGTTATCGCTTGAGATAAAAGAGGTGCTTCGTTCCTTCTTTACCGTTCCTTAGGTCAGGCCGATGGCTGTACGTCGAGCAAATGATTCTGCACCTTTGGAGCGAGACCATCAGCGAACCTGATGGGCGCCGAAACCGCAGATCGGACTTGCACCTGCCTCGCGAAATGACTCGCAACCTCGTCGGTCACGGCATTCGCCAACACGACTCCAGGGTTCAGCCCGCGGCGGATGGCATCTTCAGCTTTGAGGTGGCTCGGAATCTGGATGAGAACCACATCGCCAAGCCGATCCAGAGCGCTCTGGACACGGCTCCAGAGATCAACGTGGGTTTGGCTTCGAGTCAGAAGGCCGGCCTGGACACGGGCGAAGCCTCGGGCAACATCAGCCGAGTCCGCTATCTGACCCAGACACGCCTGAGGGTGAGCCGACTCCAGGAAAGCCAAGAGGGCCCAGAGCTCCCCACGATTCACAGACTGCTTACCCGTGATCCCGCCCCCGATTTAAAAACTTAATGTCGGCATCCGACACGAGCGGGGCAGGGTTAAAACATCATGGCCAAAAACCGCGACGCCCCAAGACACCCGCCTCAGACGCTTATCCCTCATTAACTCCACACCACTCGCGCCCCCAGCGCCCGAGATGCGAGTTCCCTCAAGAGGACCAGGAAAACGCCGGCGGCAGAGAGGAACGGGCCGTTGGGAGGGGGAGGGACGTACGTCCATTCGCGGGGCACGAGACCGCGAAGCCAGAAGCAGGGCAGATCAGCAGCAACATAAGCGTTATTTGTTTTGTGCGAGGGCGCTTCATCAATCCGCTGGAATTCGGCATTGCAGGGGCATTCCCAGACACGATGGATATCCGTTTCAGGCGCGTGACCACAGCGGGGACAGATGAGCCCACGCTCTCCCCTCAAGCTTGGGTACGAGACCTCGCCCAGACGGCCCCCGTGAGCACCGCTCGCAGCAGGTCCCATTTCTGGACTGACTTCTGACGCAAGGACGCAAGGTGCCGCCGCGGGACCGCGAGGTCGATGCCTGATGCAAGACCCCCCCCCCCCCATTGCGGAACTCGGCGACAGCAGATCATAAACGCGCCTCGATGCTACGGTCCACCTCCTTTCTAAAGTCCGACGTCGTATAAGCCTGGGAGCGAAGCTCATCGGGAATGGCGAAGACATCGCCCCCAGGAGACACCCAACACCACGGCCCATCGAGCTTCCACCCCATGGCCGTCATGGTGGCGACCACAGCCGACGCGGGCCCTGAAATATTGCGC